TCCAGCACAATTCTTGTAATATCCCATCGTGAAATTCTTGGTTTTTATCCAAAATACGCTTCTCTTTGGACCTTGGTTACTCAGTCCTTGTTTTGAAATGCTTACAATAGGGAGGGGGGACTGACTTCCTTTTTAGATCCCCCCCGCTCGTGCCGAATCCGAAATTTTTTCCTTTTTTTCTCCTTTAAAACCCGGTTGCCAGATTACTCACGGGTTGTTGTTAAAAGTCCGAATTTTCAATGGAAGAAGTCGGCGCTCTCCACCGGATGGCATGCGGCTTCGCTCGGCAGGGGAAGCAGAGGACTCAAAGCACCACGCCACTCCCCGGCACCCGATCCGTAGCCTTTAAAAAGGCTCCTTCACGAGTCGGGAGGGCGCTAATGGTGCCAGCCGAGTCACCCATGTCCACGGTCTTCGTGCCCGTGGTTTTTAAGGGTCCCCGCGTCGCCGGCGCGGTAGAACCCGAGCCCTGCCAAGCAGACTCCCTCCGGAGCTCGTAGGGAGTCCGCCATTCGGCGATGGCGCCAACCCGGAAGTCCTAACCTGATCTCGTTTTTTGACAGAATTACAAGCTTGGTAGATGAAGGGAACGCAGTGGATGTAGCCTACCTTGATTTCAGCAAGGCATTCAACAAGGTGCTCCATGATATTCTTGTAAAGAAGCTGGTAAAATGCGGTCTTGACTATGCTACCACTCAGTGGATTTGTAACTGGCTGACTGACCGAACCCAAAGGGTGCTCATCAATGGTTCCTCTTCATCCTGGAGAAGAGTGACTAGTGGGGTGCCACAGGGTTCTGTCTTGGGCCCGGTCTTATTCAACATCTTTATCAACGACTTGGATGATGGACTCAAGGGCATCCTGATCAAATTTGCAGATGACACCAAACTGGGAGGGGTGGCTAACACCCCAGAGGACAGGATCACACTTCAAAACGACCTTGACAGATTAGAGAACTGGGCAAAAACAAACAAGATGAATTTTAACAGGAAGAAATGTAAAGTGTTGCACTTGGGCAAAAAAAATGAGAGGCACAAATACAAGATGGGGGACACCTGGCTTGAGAGCAGTACATGTGAAAAGGATCTAGGAGTCTTGGTTGACCACAAACTTGACATGAGCCAACAGTGTGACGCGGCAGCTAAAAAAGCCAATGCAATTCTGGGCTGCATCAATAGGAGTATAGCATCTAGATCAAGGGAAGTAATAGTGCCACTGTATTCTGCTCTCGTCAGACCTCACCTGGAGTACTGTGTCCAGTTCTGGGCACCACAGTTCAAGAAGGACACTGACAAACTGGAACGTGTCCAGAGGAGGGCAACCAAAATGGTCAAAGGCCTGGAAACGATGCCTTATGAGGAACGGCTAAGGGAGCTGGGCATGTTTAGCCTGGAGAAGAGGATGTTAAGGGGTGATATGATAGCCATGTTCAAATATATAAAAGGATGTCATATAGAGGAGGGAGAAAGGTTGTTTTCTGCTGCTCCAGAGAAGCGGACACGGAGCAATGGATCCAAACTACAAGAAAGAAGATTCCACCTAAACATTAGGAAGAACTTCCTGACAGTAAGAGCTGTTCGACAGTGGAATTTGCTGCCAAGGAGTGTGGTGGAGTCTCCTTCTTTGGAGGTCTTTAAGCAGAGGCTTGACAACCATATGTCAGGAGTGCTCTGATGGTGTTTCCTGCTTGGCAGGGGGTTGGACTCGATGGCCCTTATGGTCTATTCCAACTCTATGATTCTATGATTCTAATTCTTGGGTACCAAAGTAATAAATATTAATCTTAATGTTCTGTATTATGGCAATGATCTAACCAAAGTTAAGCATGTTAAATCCCATTCATTTCACATGTTTAACTCTCCCCCATTGGAAATAAATATGTCTCCAAATTAGTTGCTGAAACATTAGTTAATTATTGCTCTTTTGTTTTTAGAAGCTTAATTTTGGGTAGATTATTCCCATAATACAATATTATTGATTGACTGCCACATATGATCTAAAACCCTTGAATACCTTTCACAAGTGATTTATTGATAATGAAATCTACGTAATCTAGCACCATTAGATTATGTACCTTACTACTTTCTGCTCTGACTGCCAGGGTTTCCCAGACCTGCCTGGTGTTCTCAGAAATTGAACCTGGGGTTTTCTTCCATTGAAGCATGTGCTCTATCACTGAGCCATGGCACTACCTAGGGCCAGGAACAAGACATTCTGCTGGTTGAGGCACAGTTGTTGCTGCACTGTTCATGCTCTGACCTTCCTCCTCCTCCTCCTCTTTTGTATCAGGCTCTCCAGAGCCCCTCAGGACAATAGCTTGTAATTCAGTTTTACTAGCAAACCAGAGGTTAAACTAACCCCTTTCCAGCCCCATGAGGAGCGCAGGGAGCATTCGCGCGACACACCTACACACTGCAGCCAACACGCTAAAGTATCGTGACACACAGCTCTGTTCTAGAGTGAGGCATTGTAGGAGAGGGGGTCCTGTAGAGTCTATGCTACTCTGTCATAGTGGCACAAAATACTAGTTAAAGTTTGAGAATAGTAAAGTGTTGCACTGCAGAGCAGCAGTAGCACAATCTCTGGGGTCACCTGACCCAAAAGGTTGTGGGTGACTTGGGACCACCTGTAAGTACACTTTGCTGCAATGGGAAAATGGGGACAATGCTCTGAGCATGCTATATGGAGCTGGGTAGGTGGTGAGTTGAGGGAAAACATGCCAGCTGCCCCCTTTCTGTATCCCACCTTTCTGCCTGAGGCAAAGGTCTTAGTTTGACTAAGATCCAGCCGTGGACCTTGTATGATACATAGCATTTCTGTAGTGCTTTAGAGTACAGTGGTACCTCAGGTTACAGACGCTTCAGGTTACAGACTCTGCTAGCCCAGAGTTAAGAACTTTGCTTCAGGATGAGAACAGAAATCGTGCGGCGGCAGCGGGAGGCCCCATTAGCTAAAGTGGTGCTTCAGGTTAAGAACAGTTTCAGGTTAAGAATGGACCTCCAGAATGAATTAAATTCTTAACCTGAGGTACCGCTGTATTTACAAAATTCGTGAAATATTATTTCAGGATTCTGGAGTGGGGCAGTATCAGTGTAGGACACTGTGCTGCTCCGTGCTACAGAGTTATCGATCAAGCTCTTAGATTACATTTGCTACTGCTGCTATGGAATAAGTATAATTCAGGCTGTTATAACACATAATTTTGAAAAAGGGGGGGCTTGATTTGTTTTGGGGTGTTTTGTGGTGGGTTTGCACATGTTTGTTGCTTGTTCAGACTGCAGCTCTGTATCCTTCTCCCCTCCAAAAAAGTACTGTATTTTTCCCTCTATAACACGCAAATTTTTTCTCCTAAAAAGGAAGGGGAAATGTCTGTGTGTCTGTGCGTGTTATAGAGCGAATGTGTGGTCCCTGGAGCCAAAAAATCAAGCAAAAGTCAAATCGCGAGTCACGGAGAAGGGAAACCTGAAAAGAGGAAGTGGCAGCTTTCCTGTATTCTGCCTCAGGGTCTTACTGCCCACCCTCCTCTGTTTCGTTGCTGTGTTTGCTCAAACGGAACAAAGAGCAGGGAAAGCCCCTCCCCTCCAGGCAAGCAGAGTGTCGTTCTTTCTAATTCCTCTCTGTGCTCCGGTGCTGCTGGGGGAGAGGGAGAGAGAGTGGGGGAGGGAGAGGGAGAGGGGGGGAGGGAGAGGGAGAGAGGGGGGGAGGGAGAGAGGGGGGAGGGAGAGAGAGAGAGAGAGAGAGATGGCTGGCTTGGGGGGGAACTTTTGCCTTTCTTTCCTCCCACCCGTTATCCCTCTCCAGCATTCTTAGCCAGCTGCTTCTCTGCACACCCCTCTCATGTCCCTTCTTTGTTTTTCCTTCGCTCCCCACTTAAAATGTGGTTACAAAGCATAGATCAACATGGATCCTCAGGATCTTTGCATTGGGTCATCCCAAATTCACCATCAGATCACATAGCATGTCCATGGCTACAGCCTGCACCAAAAAAATCACGCACCCACTGTTGCCTGGGGCTGCAATGGTGCAAAAACGTGGTTAAAAAGCATGGATCCACATGGATCCTCAGGATCTTTGCATTGGGTCACCCCAAATTCACCATCAGATCACATAGCATGTCCATGGCTACAGCCTGCACCAAAAAAATCACGCACCCACTGTTGCCTGGGGCTGCAATGGTGCAAAAACGTGGTTAAAAAGCATGGATCCACATGGATCCTCAGGATCTTTGCATTGGGTCACCCCAAATTCACCATCAGATCACATAGCATGTCCATGGCTACAGCCTGCACCCAAAAAATCACGCACCCACTGTTGCCTGGGGCCACAATGGTGCAAAAACGTGGTTACAAAGCATGGATCCACAGGAATTCTCAGGATTTTTGCATTGGGTCACCCCAAATTCACCATCAGATCACATGTCTGTGGCCACAGCATGAAGCACAAAAATGATACATCCACTGTTTCATTCAGAATGTTTTTTCCCTTGTTTTCCTCCTCTAAAAACAATGTGCGTGTTATGGTCAGGTGCGTGTTATAGAGCGAAAAATACGGTATATTAAATTCATATGTACTGCATCACTAATAGGCACAGTTTGCATGTCCATTCAGCATCTGAAAATCAACTAAAAAGTTCATTTTATATCAACTTGATGCTAAAAAGAAAAATGGTTTGGATTTCAATAATAATAATAATAATAATAATAATAATAATAATAATAATAATTTCCTATTTGTGGTTTTGCAACAGGGGTCAATCAAGATTTCTCCTCAGTGTCTAGGGGTAGTATTCAACTAGTTTTTTACTCAGAGTAGACCCATTGAAATTAATTGATGTAACTCTTGTTCATTTATTCCAATGAGTCTGCTGTGAGTAAAATTTAGTTGCCCTAGACTCTGATTCAAAACACTAACTGTGTCACCTAAGGCCCCAAGGAATTATTGTATATCTGAAAATTTGCAATATGTACACTGCTGTCCTTATAATTATTTTTATGTTCTAGTCCTGCATAGCGACACATGAATCTAATGGCATAGACATTATCATTGCCTTGATCCTGAATGATATCAATCCTCTTGGAAAATACCGTATGGACCTAGTGCTTCAGTTGAAGGTACAGTGTTTACAGGGCTATTCTATACATATTTTCTCAGAAATAAGTTCCACTGGGTTCAGTGGGACTCACTTCTAGGTATGCATATATAGGATTTCAGCCTTTATCACCTCAAACTCACAAGCAGCTGTACTTGCACAGCAGCTCATAGAACTGGACTTAAGATTTACATTGGTGCAGTAGCGGTTGGTAGGGTTGGGTGCCAGCATGTGCCTGACCTCCCACCACTAGTATCATGGCAGCTTTCTGGAAGGGGCAAGGCAGCCGCAAGTTTGGTATAGTGTAAATGTACCAGCAGGAGCACTGGATTTGCCCCGCAGTTGCACTTTCACCTTGCCGGAGTAATCCACAATTATGCTGGTAGCAGAAGGTCAGCTTGCATGATATTGCATGATGCATTTCTTTAAAAAACATCCTCTGCAGTAAATTCTTTGAACTAAGGAGCATTCCCTTCCTGGGCAAAACACACTCCTAATGGGATATGCACTCGGGGGTTTGTGTTGTTTACCAAATAGCATAAGCTAAAGCTTTGCACTTTCTGTACATGAGAGTTTAATTTTTTTAATAATAATAATAATAATAATAATAATAATAATAATAATTTTTATTTATACCCCACCCTCCCCAGCCAAGGCCGGGCTCAGAGCGGTTTACAAGCAATAATAAAAACAAGTTGAATGATTACAACTTAAAATACAACATTAAAATATTGAGATATTAAAATATTAAAATGTAGCCTCATCGCAGGAGGAGAAGGAAAAGAAAAAAGAAAGAGAGGGGGGGAATCAAATTGGCTCCAAGCCAAAGGCCAGGCGGAACAACTCTGTCTTACAGGCCCTGCGGAAAGAAATCAGATCCTGCAGGGCCCTGGTCTCATGAGGCAGAGCGTTCCACCAGGCCGGAGCCAGAGTTGAAAAGGCCCTGGCTCTGGTTGAAGCTAATCTAACTTCCTTAGGGCCTGGGACCACTAGGGTGTTGTTATTTATGGACCTTGAGGCTCTCCGTGGGGCATACCAGGAGAGGCGGTTCCGTAGGTACGAGGGTCCTAGGCCATGAAGGGCTTTAACGGTCAAAACCAGCACCTTGAACCTGACCCTGTACTCCACCGGGAGCCAGTGCAGCTTGAAAAGCACTGGGTGAATATGCTTCCATGGCAGAGACCCCGTGAGGAGCCTCGCTGCAGCATTCTGCACCCGCTGGAGTTTCTGGGACAGCTTCAAGGGCAGCCCTGCGTAGAGCGAATTACAGTAGTCAAGCCTGGAGATGACTGTCACATGGATCACTGTGGTCAGGTCGGGGCGGGAAAGGTAAGGGACCAACTGCTTGATGTGGCGAAGGTGGAAAAATGTCGCCTTGGGTGTTGCTGTAACTTGCGCCTCCATGGAAAGGGAGGCGTCAAGGATTACACCCAAACTCTTAATGGAAGGCAATGGCACTAATTGGGCCCCCGCAAGAGAAGGGAGTTGGTCCCTCATCCCCATGCCATCCCGACCCAGCCATAGGACCTCTTAACCCAAATATTTCCAAATCCTTAATATGACATTTGTGCACACATTCACAAAAGTGTGTGTAGCAAACACAGGATGAGCTGGAGTGCTTGCATGTGTGCTCATGCCCTGGCAGCTGTTCCATGTACACAATATGGGTTGCATGTTTGGGGCCAATGTGTTTATGTATGTATATATCTACACTTCACTGTACATACTGCACTGTACTGCACTGTACACTACATTGTACATGAGCTGGCAGGTGGTGCACAGTGAGTGCCCTGTCAGCCTGCCATATATTGAGCATACATTTCAATGAAAGGTGGTAGGGCCAGTGGGGGTCTAGCATGTTTCATCTCCACAAAGTTGAATGCAACTACAACAGCCACGCTAATATTAAACGGTATGACAGAGGGCGATCAGCCCAGGGAATATACCCACTTTGCAAAGCATGGGGGCAGTGTGATAAATTATATTGCGATCTTGCAATTTGCATATAGGTTTGTCATGGAGTTTGAGGTGGGCCATAATATTGAAAGTGATAATTTACCTCTAACAATGGTACTAGTAGGCCCAGTATTTAACAATTCTTCCCCTAAAACTCAATTTATCTCTAATGCAAACTTAGGTGTGACTGCAGGCCATAGAATTAAGTGGACCCCACTAGTACTCAGTCTAGCTCTGACTCATCTTCATACAGATGACTTAAGGGCTATTCATATTGCTATCATCTCAGCTACCTCTGCTGCTGAGGCTATGACTTTATTTCAGATCTTGACTGATAAGTTGCAAGACCACTCGAGAATTGAGATCATAACAGTGGCTCAATAAGATCAATGGAATCTTCCAGCTGGTTCAACAAAGAGTGGAAACAGGCTAAAAGCCAGCTGAAGAGAGTTTACCGCAAATATAGGAACTAAAATTTACCCCTCTTAATTAATGAATATGTTCCCCTCATATAGAAGTATAAACTTCTGCTAAGATGGAAAAAAACAGAAAGCAGAAAAACATGCTTCTCACAATAAGGACATCTCCCTCTTCTGGTGTACAATATCAGCCCTGCTAGAGAATGCTTGAAATGTTTCAGTGCGTACTATCAGACCCAATGAAGGGATGCAATATTCACTCAATTATGGGCAAGATGAAGAGGTCAACCAAATAACAGAATCTTTGGAAAACTTTCCAGACTGGCCTCCAGTATCTACAACTGAGGTCAAGAACCTTATTTCACAGTTAAATAATAATAAAGCACCAGGCATAGACTATTTGCCCCCAGAGCTGTTGAAGTCTAACACCAACTGGTGGGTCTCCCTGCTGGCAGTAATTATCTCAATTATCAATTAATCCAGGTTATTTGGGCCACAGCGGTAGTTATCCCCATATTCAAAAAAGGCCTTACGTCCGATCTGGCTAGTTATAGACCAGTTAGTTTGCTACCTGTAATTAGCAAATTATATGCAAAGCATCTTTAACATAAGCTAGCTGATTGGATAACTGATTAAACTATTCTTGCCAAAGAGCAAGCAGGATTTAGACAAGGCAGATCCACCATTGCTTTGTACTAGCCCATTTTATAGATAAGTATATATAGATTTAAAAAATAAAAAAAATGTCCAGTAGCACCTTAGAGACCAACTAAGTTTGTTCTTGGTATGAGCTTTCGTTTTTTTATTTTTTAAATATATTTCTACTGCGTCAGACCAACACGGCTACCTACCTGAATATAGATAAGTATGTTAAGTAACCAGGTGGTGTGCTATATGTAGCTTTCATTGATCCGAAAGCTGCATTCGATTCAATCTCTCGAGTAAGATTGTCGGATTAGCTGAACTCTTCCAAGTATAGATAAAAGTTTATTGTTCTTGACTAAATGTCTATATAAAAACGCTGTGGTGAAAGTGCGTTGCTCTACAAATGGGCAGCTCACAGAATCTGTACCAGCCACAGATGGAGTTAAGCAAAGTTATATTCTAGCTCCCGCAGTGTTTAATTTATATATAAATGATATTGTCCAGAGTTTAACATCCCCAGAGTATCACGCCCCTAAATTGGCCCAAAAAACCCATCTCTATATTATTATATGCAGATGATGCAGTACTTCTATCTCAAACAAAAATGGGCCTAAAAAGATTGTTGAGGGAATTCACAGGATACTGCCAAAGGGAACAGCTGGCTGTGAATTACAAGAAAACTAAAGTCATTGTGTTTTCAAGAAACTATAGGGCCCATAGATAGTCTTTAAATACCTCGGCCTTATTTTTCAGTCAACAGTGTTATGGGAAGCACATCAGGAATACTGTATGCAAAGGCAAAAGCATCTCAAAGCACAAAAAATCTGACACTCTTTTCCCGTACAAAAGGTGGCAATCACGTACTATCAGCACTTGAAGTGTTTATTAAGCTAAATCCCCAGCACAGTTATTGTATGGAGCTGAGATTTGGACCTTGGATCTACTGAAGCTGTTCAATCTTAAGTTCCTATGGCAATTTTTTCCTGTTCCATCCTGTATTCCAAATGCTTCATTGTGTTTAGAGGCTAACCTCCCCACCCACACAGAGGATGCCTGTTTTTAATCTGCTTGTGAAGATTATCAGAGATCGCAAAGAAAGGAATATACGTGTCAGGGAACTGCCATCGGAAGGACAGGAGGTGGAAAGGCTCACTGAGGTTGAGAGAGACGTAGCAGCTGAAGAGGGAACCAGTAGGGGGAGAGAAGGAACTCCAAGGGAAAGTGAGTCGGAGGGATGGCTCAGAGACGCTTCCAGCGAAAACAGTGGGGAGGTCTCAGGACCTCCTATAGGGACACCCACTCCTCGCCGGAAACTGTCACGCAGAGAGTCCAGAAGACGTGTTTCCGTTAAGGAGCTTTTATGTTGGAAGAGATTCCGAAAGCAACCACTTTCGGACTCTGCTAGCGACTGACGCAGCCATGCCGGAGGGGCTCCGTCACAGGCAGAGGTTTGAGAACCTGATCAAACTCTGAGGGACTTGCATTTTACGCACAAGCAGCTCATTATCCCATCACAGCAGTCCGAAAGTCTCTGTAAGCAGCTTGTGCAGAGAAAGGCATCATGAGCAACCCAGCCGAAACCGGAGGAGCAGGAGGAGCTGGAGCCGGTCCAAACCTGGAAGAAAGGTACAGGGTGTTGGAGGTCCAGCTGGTGCTGCAAACGGCACGGCTTGAAGAGAGGAGGGCTCAGGATGCAGAAAAGGGAAAAACCACCCCGCTCGCCAGAAAGGTGCCAGGATTGGTGCAGAAGTTTGGGGGGATCCCAGGAACTATCATGCCTTTAGAACAGAGATGCAATATGCTCTCAATCTGCAGTTTGATGACTTCCCTGACGAGGAGTCGCGAGTGGCTTTTGTGATTGGCCATCTCGAAGCGGGGGCGAAAGACTGGGTCAGGCCCCTGATGGCAGTGAATAATGAGATTCTAAAGGATACGCGGAAGTTTTTTCGCGCCATGGACCTGATGTTTTCCAGCGACATTGAGCAGGGAGTGGTGCGAAGGC